AAAGTGTGTTCTTTGATGCAGTCTAAGAAATAATCTTCAACATCTATTGAGAATCAATGAACAGTTATTTCTAACTGGTGATAAGAATGGAAAGATATGTGACTTACTGTGTCTATGTTATTAATTGCCGTCGAATCAGTTCTACCCCATAGCGACCCTGTATATGGTTTCTGAGGAGCAGCTGGCAAGCTTGAACCTCCAACTTTGTGATTCAAACCAACTTTGCAGTCCAGCGCATTAACCCACAGTGCCACACCAGGGCTCCCCTTATGTCTATAATGGCATATTTTTACAGCATAACTTACTTTAATGAAATTCTGTAAGTTTTAAAATCATGTATATTGATCACTTTTTTTTTTTAATCATTGTGGGGTCTTTTTTTCTCTTCATTGTATTAAAAAACTGAAAAATATAGAGTAGAAAATGATTGATAATTCCACCAAAGAGATATAACTTCTAGTATTTTTCTTATGTATTCATTTACAAATTTACTTATTTCCTCTTTCTTTTTGACCTAATAATTTATCAATGAATATGCAATAGGAGTACACTGAATTACTTAATGTGGCACTTGTCGCCGTAGTCTTTCTAACTCCAGTCAAATTACTGGGAGGAATTATACAAATGAAGTGCTGTGGCCTACTAGAGGGATTGGACAGCTTACAAATAATACAGATAAAATACATGATGCCCTTGTGAAGGTGGGACCATGAAAATAAGGTATATGGAACTGTAATGAGGGGATTGGTCAGTTTTTGCCATCCTTTTATGTTTAAAATGAGTTACACCAAAGACAAACAGAAGGAATCATGTCCACCAAGAAAAGACAGAAGTAGAGCCTGTCCTTTGGACGTGAGGTCTCTGGGCTGGGAGCCTCCTAGATCCAGGAGACAGAAAGAGAGCTGAAAGGTGGAAAATGTGAGAGAAGAGGGCAAGAAGCAGTAGCAGAGAAAAGGGGCAGCAGAGGCAGCAGAACCAAAAGCCCAGCAGAAGACTGTGGCTCCAAGGAAGAAAACTGACTCCTTTTAGTCAGGAGGCTTGCTGGCTGAGGGTAGAGCAGGGTGCTTCTGGGAGTTGTAACACTTGCCAGAGAAGACCCCACACAGGGACCAGCAAAAGTGGGTAAGAAGAAGCTGTCTTGATTAAGAACTGTTTCTGAGTTGTTCCTGTTACGTCAAAGTTGTTTCTGATCCTGAATTATATTTTGTATGCATTGGAATCAACTTGATGGCACTTAACAACAGCTTTTCCAATAAATCACATAATCAGATCTCATAGGTTTGTGAGTTCTGTGCAGCCATTGGAAAAGAAGTAGAGACAACAGAGAAGTAAAGAGTGCTGTGGGGAGGCATGGTTGGTGTCAGAATTAGTAAAAAGGTTGATGAGAGAAGATATGTCTAACCTCCATCTCATAGGAATCCTAGTGGTTGATGCTCATGGTTGAATCTGGCGGTTGATGCTGATAATGTTTCTTCTGCCCCCTGGTGAAGTTTAAAGGTTCAGACTACCTTCTACCACAACATTTTTACAATAGTCTCTCACTATGCTAATGGCTGCTTGGTAATTTCATAGTGCTGTTGTTAAAGTGCCATGGATAGGTTCTGACTTATAGGGGCCTACTGTAATGGAGTCCTGGTGTGGCACTGTGGGTTAATGCGCCAGACTGCAAAGCCATTTGAACTGCAAGGTTGGAGGTTCAAGCTCACCAGTGTCTCCTTGGAAACCCTATACAAGGTCGCTAAGGGTTGGAACCAACTCGACAGCACTTAACAACAACAACTGTAATTTACAGTTCTTGGTAAAACAGAATTTTGGAATTGATTTGCATCTGACCCATATGTTGATATCCATTATTATCTGTACTCTCTGGAGATCAAGGAATATGATAAAAACAGTCTTAAAAGATGAGACAATCAGTAGAAGGTGACTGCCAAAGGAGGCCTTTGAGGGGGAGAGAAAGCATTTCATGTGATTGAATTTAGCTTTCTTAATAGAGCATTCTTTAGTTTGCCTTTCTAATAGAATAAAAAAATCTTTGAGATTTGCAGTTTGAAGCTTAACAAATACTGATTTTAGCCTTGCCAAAAGAAACAACTAAGAAAAACCAATGAACCATAGCATTAGTATGTGTAACCATAGCATTTTATCTGTTGCATTAGAGAAAAAAAAACTCATTTCTCTTGGTAACTCTTTTCTCTTGCCTTCTGCTCCACTTTTTTTTTTTTAAATTAACTATTTACATTTTTTTAAAAAGCTTTTATTATGAATTGAGTGATAGTTTACATGGGAGAACATTGGTTTTGCACTCATCCTATCGTGTTTTGTTTCATTACAATGATTACATTCCCTCCATGCCTCATCATTTAACAGTGTTTACTTCTATTCCCTCTGTTGTGGGTTGTGCTTGTTTTTTAATGTACTGAAAAACATTGAGGAATATATAATCATTTAAATAACCAAAGGGCACATTCTGCAAACCAGTCTCCTGGCTGCCAGAACATAAGCCTTTCTCTTTCCATGAGTCTAGAGTCCTCAGCTGCTCTATCTCTCTTCCTCCATCTCTGGTGTCA